TACCACTATGTAATTACTATATTCACATTATTTGAATATTACTGCGTCATTTTGGCAAATACCTCTCTGTAACTTCAGAGATCAAATTGTTATACATTTCAAGGAATTAAACACAATATGTTTTTTTACCTCTTTACCATATTGAAGCATCAAAATCATGATTTTAATGTTTAATATTAATAATTTGTTTTCTTATATTTACTTATTTTTTTAAATTATTCATGAAGTGATTGAAATCATTGTTACTAAAAAAGTTAGTTATTAATTATTTCAAGTCAGCTACGAGATACTGCAATATTTCACCAATAAAATTGCAATTTTCTGATAAAAAAATAAATTAAACGTTATGAACATATTCGCATATGCCTCGTTTTTGAAATATTATGTACGTAGTGTGCTACAATATTCGTATTTTTCAAACCATTTTATTTTGCGCATTTTGTAGATTAACGGAATATGCGAAACTACCGTTTGAAATAATTTATAGGGTGATACTTTTTTGGAACCGTCACTTTTTTTTATTAGTGAATCATCCGTAAAATTTCGTCAGTAGTATATTGCAATATTTACTCTCTATACAAATTATTTTAATATTACTTTTATTAGTTATAACACCATAAAAACATTTTAAATATTTTTGTTGAAATATGACGACGGGAAAAAATATTGTGGTGAAAATCCATACAATTGTAGTCAAAAAATCTGACAAGTTAGATGCAAAATTTATTTAAAAATCTGAAAATGCCACATTTAGTTACTCCTATTATTTTTGCAGTTGTGAATGTATTAACAACTATTTATAAATTTTGACACATTTCTAAACAATATTATTAACACAATTTAACATGTAGTGGGACCTGTGTTTCCATAAAATGTTCATCACTTGATAATAAAGGGCAATATTAATTTCAGCAAAACCTATACCTTTGAGTTTCAGGTTACCTACCTGTATAAAAGCTCAGCAACGCCAGTTTCAAATTTCAGAGCCGTAGGAAACGATGACACTTAAAAATCATTACAGGTGTTCACGCGTTTGCGAGATATTGGAGCTCTACCTGTGTAATAGCGGAAATACCGAGGTTTTCCTGTAAACTATGGCATCAGGGTACCACAGTAGTCGATTTCTGTAATCGTAGGTTTTTTGCATAACTAATTTTTGCGAAAATTGAATTTAAGAATTATACAGTATACCATGTCATACATGCATAGCAAATATACATATATGTGAGAATATTTTCCTTTGCTATTACGACAAATGTTTCTCACATTATTGCAATGACATGCATAAGAGTTATAAAAAAATATTACATGTGTATAAACAAAATAAGACTAACTGACAAAAATATATAGTTATAAAAATTCTCGTTTAACGTAGTACCTGAACAGATCTGAATAAAAAATTTTCTATACGTTTCCAGATATTAATTTTGAGTTTTAGTAGCCGGATTTTAGCTATATCAATATTTAGAACAGTTTGTTATCTTAACAATGTTAACTTTCTTTGTGGCGAACAATTTGTTTTAACAAAAGACAGTTTAATTGGCACCTATGAGAAAGACGTTAATAATTACATCCTAATTGAAATATAATTTGCCGCCATCTAATTGCTTCTAATAACAATGAAAATATAAAATTTATATAAAAAGCGAGAAAGTCTCTTCATTCTCCAGAACAAAAGTAATTACAGTTCTTTGGAGAAAATTTCTTACGACTAGACAATGATACATTTGCGAAACTAATACTTAACTAAGGTAAAAACATAACGTTATTCGACAATAATAATCTTCTACTCGAGCAGCTACCTAAAATAAGTAGAGCTTGTATTCACTTGTAACTATTAATAAAAGAAAGGAACAGAACGTACACCGACCGGTAGCTCTTGAACAATAAACGGTTCGAGTTTACACGGACCGTGTTATTCAGACTCATTTTATTTTACCCAGTTACATATACATGACATTTAATGATACAGTCATTATGCAAACAACGCTGGTGATAGCTACACGAAAAGTAAGTATAATAGCACAACCTCCTTACACAAAGCTTCTTTTTCGACCGAACAATGTACAAAGAGTAAAAGTCGGCTGGAAGTAAAATTCAAAATATAATTTATAGGTTACACTCTGGAGAATAATTCATTGATGCAACAAGCTGACAGAGGAATGTAGGTATTAATTCATTGAGGATAAGACAATAGATTCATGAGATTCGACGTGCCGATAACTGAGAAATCTTCCTTATTCTATTTCTTTAGAATGTTTGCCAGAATACCTACCTGCAATTTGATTTGTATGTCCAGTGTGATGCTGCTCCGGAAATATCAAAACAATGAGCAAAATAAAAATACGTTTATGAATACCACTTTCAACTTTCCCGACACTGCGAAGTCAAGACAAATGGTTTGTTAAGCACTGCATTAAAGTAAACATTTAAATAGAAAGTTTTTAGCCGTTAAATATAAGAAAGCAGCTGCATGTAATTAGTGTGTAAAAAGGTAATGCCTATCTGAAGACGGTAATACCACTAACGTTTCCAATTGTCTACGTTGCTAGTAATCGCAGTCGTCCGCAGTTTTATTTACAAAGGAAATTTGTCTAGTGGACTATTACTACGAAGCATGTACGAAACGTTTCTAGTGATTAACGCTATTTGTATACTTACCATGTATCCTTTACATAATCTCTTACATCTGACAAGAACTCTTCAGTAACGCCAACGAATAAACTTACTCGTTTAAAGCTATAGGTATGTACTTTTAAATACATTTGACGAATGTTTCCAATCGTTTGCAGTCGCTCGCAGCTTTATTTCAACGTTTCTAGTTCCATCAGCAGGACGATAGTTCTCATCTCAAAATGTTCACTCAAAGGGTTGTTTCGTTCTCTTTCTGTATTCATACGCAAGCAATTTGAATAGTTTCCAGCTATATACAGTGTTTACTCGCGTCCGATGGTTTAGAGCAGGGGTCGGCAAGTAATTTTAGGTGGGGTCCGGATACTTTTAAAAATTTTTAACGAGGTCCAGAAAAAAAAATTCATATTTCCTACAAATTTTCATTTGAACTCAAATTTAATCTGCTTACTAACCATTAAGAACTCAAAACACTCACACAATTGTAAAATATTAGAAAAAATGATAAGGTTGGCACTTAAACGTAAAAAAACATTTTTTAAATAATTTATTTGAGTAATTTATACTTTCAAAAAATTTTTGGCGGTCCGGACCTGGACCGCGGTCCGCCAGTTGCTGACCCTTGGTTTAGAGTTTAGAGTTTAGTTTAGTTTCGGTCGAATTTTTCATCGTTGAAGCAAAATTTTCTTTGTTCACATTTTAACTAATCAAACGAGTGTCCATTCGTTAAGGTTCAATCGTTACGTAACAGCGTTTCAAAATTCAAAGCAAGCTCCGTAAACATTGAATATTAACAGATGAATAGCTTATCACTTCTAAGCAAAAACGAACAAAATTGTCCGGTGGTGTTCTTTACTGCGAGCACATTATGTGAACGAATTGATTGACTACTTTCCTTCCCTGTATATATACACCCCTTTTTTTATTTCTCTACTATTGAATTTTACGAAAGAACTCATTAATTAAATAGGCAAAAAGTTCATAGCGGTTAAAAATAATTCCATATTTTCAAAAATCGTATCCACTCAAGTGTTTTTGAACTTAAACAAATTTATTCTCATTCAATAATGGCAATTATATGAAGTGATTCCTTTCTTCTCTAGTATATTTGCCACAAATATTTTTCATATCATAAAAATGGATAATAAGTAGATACAACGATAGAAGTACAGTCCGTTATGCGATATTTGTTTAGATAGAATTCCAAGAAGACTACTGCGTCACTTTCTTGGAATTAATCGCATTCGACACCCGAGGTAGAAAGACATTGGCTGAAATTTACAAGGTGAATTGTTACAGTAATTTTCCTAGAATTCTATTTCGACAAATATTATGCAGACTGTACTTCTCATAGTTTTTCTTAGAGTAGATAGATACTATTGATGAAATGAATACAGGGTGTTCAGGAAATGAACAGCAATATCCAATATTTGTTTTAGAACGTAAAAACAATGTCACAATAGGTACACATTTTTTTATTCGGACTAACTTTGTGAATAATTATCTCCTAAATTTGTAGATCAATTTTTCGTTACAATTTTTTTGTTTTTTTTTCTAGTTTGAACGCTATTAAATACCTTTTTAACTTAAAATAATAAGATTCTTCAAATGGTGACAAAAATTATATACATATTAATTTTTTTGGGAGGTCAAGACCACTAAATTATACGCACTGAAACTTTAAATAACACTTTTTAACCAAAAATTAACCTAATTTAATGAAGAACAAAACACTTATAACAAAAAATCCAACTTTCTACTTTAAAAGTTAATAACTCTACGGTGAGCCAGAATTAAGAAAAAGGCAGAGAATAACGTTATTTCTCAAAATTTCAATGAACAGAAAAGTAATTTATTTTTAAATTTCATACTAATAACATGAACCAAACTAACATTAAGAACATAAATTGGATGTAGGAATATATTGTAGAAACTAGGTACTTTGTATTACATTTAATTAATTTTTTAATAAGGCGTTTTAGTTCATAAAAAATATATTTAAAAAATATTTAACCACAAGAATTCATCATATAGGCAATGACAATATTAACGATAAATAACTATAGGGATTTTTTTAATATTCCATTAACTCCAAACGTCTTAAAAAAATGTAAAAAGTAAATATCTTAGAAGAGGGTTAACCATAAAATTGAAAAATAAACGTTTTCTCTAAGATTTTTCGAAATATTAGTTTATGTAATGTCAAATTTGCGTATAAAAAAATCATGTCGTTGCTTTTATGCAATCTATTTGACATTATTTATCGAGCAGAAATGATTGGTAGTACAATGTTTCGAAAATCAATTAAGTAATATCTTTGTCTACGATGTGTCTCCAAATTATTTTATTCACTGTGCTTTTTGTTCCAGTGCACGCATGGCTCCGGATTTTTTGAGTTACAAGTACTGGAAATGGCGAATCCGCGCAGTGAACTTTCAAGTGGCGAATGTTGCGGGGGTGGCGTAAGATCCCCCCTGACGAACCGTTGCTCCGTTCCGTGCAACACCTTCTTCAGATTGTGCCTGAAGGAGTACCAGAGTAACGTGACTAGTACCGGCTCCTGCTCCTTCGGGAACACCTCCAGCCAAGTATTGGGACGCGATACTTTCACACTTGCCGACCCCGACAGGGGCAAACTGGTCTTGCCATTCACCTTCCGATGGACGGTAAGTCAACTTCCTTTATTGAGCTTCTGGGAATGAGGCTTAAATATGTCCATCTCAAACGCAATTTATTTTTTAATGACTGCAAGTTTTGGATCGACACCATAAAATTTAAAAAATTTTGAATTAATTACCCAACTAATGGTTTCTACATGGTATTGTGTAGCACCGCAGTCCAAGCAAATGTAATAATTGGACACAACGGTGTACCCTACCTCGTCTTGCACCTGGGCTTTGCACAGCGAAATCGAGTTTAATTTAACATTTTTCGCACAGCGCACGATTGGTGAAACCAAGTTAATAAACAGTCAAAAAACGCTGATTATGTGTTGATGTTATACGCTGATATTTAAAGATGTACTGTCTTCTTTTGTCTACTTTTAATCAAATATCCCATCTCGTCTTCATCCGACTATGAAGATGAAAAAAAACTCACGTTTAACATGCTATTCGTTTAATGCTTTAAAATATGTTATCTGATAGCTAGGCGCGGTGCTTCAATATGGACGCTTGTCGACAAGTGCGGTGGCTTACCCTGGAGGTATGGCCATAACGATTAGCGTAACATAGCAAAATATACAAAAGGAGACAGTACATCCTTAAAGTAAAATGTGGTGTCACTATGTGAATTCTATCTCTATAAATATATAAGAAAAGACAATGATCGTTTTATGACCTCTTATTAACTTTTCTTCGTTCATCGTGCACCGGGCGAAGGTCTAAAAAAACTCAGTTAAGCTGTGCGAGGCTCAGGTGCAAAGTCTGATGCAAGACAAGGTGCGGTGCACTTAAGGCTTGAGTTTTATAGACAAGTACGCACTTTTGGTAAGACAATGACAGAACAAGAAAATCTAAACTATAAAAATGTTGAAATACAAGAACTTTTTGAATTTTTTGCAGTGAAAAATCACGAAAAAACAGGTACCCATGTAAACATCGGAATGTAAACTTCCTGTTTTGTCGAGGATTTTGCGAAAAATACACAATAATTATGATTAATTAATGTGTTAATAGTTTCATAAAAGCATTCTGTAGGGTGCGATTGTCTTTATCATAACAGGCGTAACAGAGGTGTAATGTTCAGAAAATGTAAATATAAGAAGTGAAAATTATTTTTTTCCTTATTCTGAATATATTAGCTTGTAAACTGTCTTATACCCTGGAGAAAACTTGTATAACTGGTACAGTAAAGAGATATTGCATCTAACTTGCTTAGATTTTCTAAAACTCTCGTCAAAAGACTGCTACAAATTCACTGAAAATTACACGTAAAACCGCCACTCTTTTCAATGATTACTTTTCTTGACACTGCGGTGCTAGGGTGCAAAGTTAAGTGCGGTGCTATAGCCTAGTTACTGTCCTTAGATCATTAGCTTCCAATATTTACACGTAAATATGTAAATGGTAAATTCACATTAATAAGAATAACCAGAGCATACTGCTCATAGTGTATTGGTATTAGCTCATTCTTTTTAAGAAAAACTAGGAAAACTATAAATTTATCTACTAAATCTTAAATTTTGGTAATTATTTTCTAATTACACAGGCCGATAAGACCCAACAACACGAATATACTTTCCCAAAGAATTTTGGTGCACTGAATTCTAATTCGAGGTCCAACTTTCTCAGTTGGCTCTGGTTTTCAAGATAGCCTAAAAATGCTAAAATCATGATTTTTTGACATATTTGAGGTTCTAAAAAACATAAAACACACCACAGAGATGAAACAGCCCCCAAATCCATAGCTTGAAATATATCTCATTATCCGACGCCAGGGATTGAACCCGGACCAGAATAGGAAGCCTTGCCGCTGCACTCTGGACCGACTACGCTACCGTGGCGATTTATTTATGTTACATGGAAATGTAATTTTTTTACTGAAACTATTAATGGGGTCTTCTAAATGTTGATATTTAGTAGTTTGACTTATTTCTCGATTTTAAGGTCTATGGGTTTCGAGTTTATGGGTTAAGGGTTTATGGGCTTATGAGTTTATGCGCTTAAGATTGTTGGGCTTAGGTTTTATGAATTCGGGATTGAGGGCATTAGCCTATTTGCGTGTAAATGTATTTCCAGATTGATAAAATATGTAAAATATCGACCATATATCGAATTTTTTTAAGTTTATTTCAAAATTTGACGTGATAGAGTATTTTGGAGTTCAGATTCACGATCAGCGACCCCAAAAACATGTAAGATCCCCACTTCTGGGTGCCGATGAATTTAGATTGGTGGTGCTGTGTTGTCAGAACAACTACTAAATTTCAACATGCGATTTCTCAAAGACGAAAAATGATATCGGGATAAATCCAAGTGCGTTTTAAAGAGTAAGTATGGCACTTTAATGGTTTTAGCAAAAAAGAAAATTACCTATCCATGTAACTTCAAATATGTCAAAAAATCGCGATTTTGGCACTTTTAGGTTAGCATATCTCGAAAACCAATTGAGAAATTTTGACCTCGGATTCGAATTCAGCGCACCAAAATCCTTCGGAAAAGTACATTCTGGTTTCTGGATTAGAGGGTCTTCCAAATTTTGTCGGCTCAACATTAATATTTAATAAAGATAATATTATATAATATTTGCTAAAGATAAAGTATTTAATTTTTTCTTTAGAGGCATGTTACAATTTTATACGTACCTACACCACAAAAACTGAGACTCCATATTTTCTCATGATTTTTATGCAGAAAATTTAATTTCAGTATTTTCAATTTATACCAAAGATGTAATTTTACCATTTCTATTTTGGAAAAGAGTTATAAAAAGACAACACATTAACTGCAATTTACCTGTTTGATAACAATTATTCCAAGTAAGAACGTTTGTATAGTGTTTTTGTACTATTCCAGATAAATGATGGCTATTTTTCTAGCAGGTCCAAAATTACATTTTTGTAGTCTGACACGGCCTTTAGAATGTATATTAAAGCCATCTGTTGGAGCTGTGTAATTCCACATTACATTATAAAATTAGATATTCCGTTTATTCCAAAATGGGACTAAGTTATAATATCTTGTATTTGAGAAAAAGATGTAACATGTTTATCCTTCGATATAAGGATTATTCGCAGTATTTTGTGTTATAAACCTAAAAGTACCTTACTATATTTATAATACATTTGAAACATTGTTATGAAATTGCTATTAAGGAAGAAATAAATAAAAAACTTATAGTTACCTACTTGTAACTTATTACACTTAATTAACACAATTCACTCATCTCGCGCCTTACTTGGTCATTTCAATATTGCATTATAAAAAATCTTCTAAATAAGCAAATATGTCTCTAAGTTATTCAGTTCGGGACAGCAAACTCAGCATATTAGTGTAAACCTTTTTTTAGGATGTTTCTATTGGTACTCCAAACACGTAATACAAAGTTAAAAGTTATGACGTAAAAATGTTCAAAAATTTTGAAACCGCGACATACCCAGATTTTGTATGGTCATGCAGAACACAGTGCAACTGAGATATTGAAAATCCTTTCTTTTTAGGTCGTGCTACATTAGGGTTCAAGGTTCCGAGTGAGTGTGCTGGTGTTCATAATACTTTGGGCAACAGAAATTGAGGTCGATTGAGGCCGTAGTAGAGATTTCTTTAACGACAAAGTTGATTTATAACAAAACAGCAGTTCACGAAGAATGTTGATTTTTATATCGATCATGACAGTTTAATGCAGAAAGGGCATTCCTTCACTTGGTAGTTTTCTGATTGAGGACTGTCATATAGTTCCCTCCTCCACTAACTGAAAGGTAGACAGCGGCAAAACATGGTAACTTCGAAGGGGTGAAAAATGTAATATTCTTAATTTTCTTTTAGATATAAATATGGAATCTACTTAATTTTTTGCTCTTTAAGCAATAAGGCATACGACATTCATTTAAGTTAGTGAAGTGCAAGTTGAATAGACAATTTCAGAAAAAATGTTTACGAGCGTATAAATTTAAGAAGCTGTAAAAATCTTCATTTGAATTGTTAAAATACTTGTAAGATTTACCAAACTAATTCGTTTAAGTATATAGCCTGTTAAGTGTGTTTTACATTTAATACTAAATAAAACCTTTGTTGGACAATCTGACATGTTTGAAAAAACCGACTAGAGGCGTTTTTTATGTTTTAACTTGTTTAGGCGGTGTACCCTTCCTTTTCACTAACTCGTCCGTGATGTTTTTTATGCCGTAAAACCCAATGAGGAATGTTTTTATTTTTGTCTTTGTCTTCAAATCAACTGAAGCGAGATAGATTCATTTGGTCAGTTCTTTAATAATGACGCGATAAGTCCCCGAAGTTATCTTTTATTAAGTCTTGAGAACGGGATAGGGTTAGTACATACCCGTGCAATTCAGGGCCGTATTTAGATCCAATTACAAAATTTAAAATAAAATTTATATAAGAACTTATTCAAAAGCAAATTCTAGTGTAATACATTTTCATCATTGTTGCTTTTTGGCTAATGTTACATAATATTTGCAGTATCATATAAAGAAAATTATTCGATAACCGAATTAATACCAAAATATAATAAGAATTATTTTCAGTTAGTAAGCGGTTCAGCAAAATAATGCTCATATAAAACAGAAAATCGAAAAATCCCCATCTGGCAAAAATCGTTGCCGCAGTTGCAAACCACGTTCGGTGGTTCTGTGCAGAAACCTTTACAAATTAAAAATTGCGATTTTAAGTTCGTAATTTATTATTTTGGCGTGCTAAACGTCATAATACAAATGTACATGCTCCAACGGATTTTGAGGGTTGCCTAATTTATATTGTGTTTAATTAGGTACTGCATATTATTGTTACCTATATATTCCTACTTTCTATTTCATCCTAAAAAATTATTAAATTTAATAGTTGTAAAACAGGTCTTTGTATGTAGTTCGACCCTGACTTTCACGTTGCAGTACTAACCCTACTACGGGAATACAACGCGTTGCATCGATACAGCGAGACGGAGAACAGGTAATTTGGATTAGACCAGCTTTTAGTTAGTGAAGAATTTA